CTCCTGAACTTCCTGAAGAGAACTTCGTCGGCACCTTTCGGTCGCAGCTCTCCTCGGTTTCCAAGCTTGCGCGGAAACTTTGAGCTTGATATCTTCGTCCTTGCGAAGACTGACCGCCGTCTTCGGTCCGACCTTCTTGAGCCGATCCGGGACTGCTGCTCTAACCCAATCCATCTGAGCAGTCGCCGTGGGTACGCGGCGCGCCCCTCCGATCCGTCTCTCCTCCTGGAGCCTTCCGAGTCCGGCACCGGACGATCCTCGAGGCGCAAGTGATGGCTCAGTCGAAGTACCTCGCTTTTCCGAGACTCCGACCGGAATCCCTGGTCTCTGCGGAGCTCGGGGCCTCTCCTGGTGCTCAGCTACCGATGAGCGGCGAAGAGGCGCTTCGGAAGCGACAGGCGAGCCCCGGAGGAGGACGTCCTGAAGAACTTCGGGGTTGATGACGGGCCGGTCGAAAGACACTTTGCCAGGTCGTATGCCTGTCGGAGAGTTGAACCTACCAGTGTCGTTGTTGGACTGGACGAACATTTTCTAAGCTTTCGGTTGGAGTGAGCGTTCGAGAGTACGTTTAGATACGCGCAGGCTATCCCGCGAAGAATCGAGAGCGAATGGTCCAGAAGAAGAAAGAACCCTGGTTTTATCGGAGAACGGAGCGCGGCGCCATCCGGAGTGAAGCTCGGAAATGATGCGGGTCCAAGTTAGGAATCCGATGTAGAGTCACACCCCCGCTGCTCTTTGATCGGGGTCAAAGTTCGGCAAAAAGGATCACTGATTGCTATATCAACCCCAAGACACATCTTGCAGTGCACGCGGTGCGTTTGCAGAGCTTCGGTGTATCGACCCCAGCTCCGGAAAGTCCACAGATTGGAGCGATCCGATCGAGGAATATCGTACTGCAGGGGTCTGTCTCAGGATATCTCAGACCAGCTCGTCTAACTGCGGAATTCCAGCAGCACCGATGGGACAATCTCATTGCCGCAGCCCGAACGGCATCTCCTTTAGATATCTCTAAGATGAGCGACTGAAGTCGCAGAACATCATCGCGGCGGTCAATGCGGTAACCGATCAGTCCACAAGCTCGAGTCATCCGTTTTGCGAAGTTCTTCCACATTTGGAAGCAGTGCAGATCGAGCGGTTGAATAAGAGATGCTGTCCCCGGAGGAAAGGATCTAATGTTGGTATCCTTGCCAAGTGAACAAGCTTGCGTCTCCCTGACCGCCCCAGGAATCCAGATAAAGTACGCGACGATCCGTGCTCGCACGGTACAAAACTTCCTTTAAGATTCCTTGACCCCAAAGTTCTCATCAATCCCTTGTCTAACTTCCCTGACTTACTTCCCATACTTTACTTCGTCACCTGACCCGCTACGATCGGGCCGAACCGACCCCTTTTTTTATTTTTATTTTCACCTATATATATTTCGATATTTTTCAGTCGATCTCGAGGGAAGTGCGAACGCTTCGATAATTCCCACCATTTTTCATCATCCCATAGGCTCAATGGTTCAGGGCCGATTTTGAGTAGGTCCGTAAAGACCTTCAGACTGCCCATTCCCCATACGCAGATAATATTCTAGGGTTGTACTATACTCCGGAGGGGATTCTTTTGCCATAGATCCCGACTAAATCTCATCGTGTTCGGCATCTAACTCCCAGAAGACGCCCTCTCGAGATGCAAATCCGATTCCGGTCCCAAAACTTGGTGGACCTCGATTACATCCGAGTCTTCGTTCCGGACCACAGCTTGCCTCGTTCAGGCGCCCAAGGTTCAAGGTGTCTCTCACACGACAGCTTCCACGAACTACCTCTCGAAAAGCAGGAACTCCTTTCCGCCACAGTCATTCCGTAAAGGAAACCCCGAGGAGCACAGAGTCGGGTATGGCTCCTCACATTTCTTTCGAGCTCTTTCCACTCAGTGAAACAGGCTCTATGAGCAGGAGCATCTCCATGAGGATCCATTCTGGCTATCCTGCTCATCTGTTCCCCCGAGGGTAGGACATAACTCCAGCCTAGCTTCCGGGTTCTGTACATAACACAGAACTCAATAACTTATGGAGTGATTTGTGAGTCCACGAGCTGCCGGAATGAAGTTTCTCTCTTTCCAGGGAGCGACTCACCTGACACAATCATTCGGGGGCAGCTCCACCTCTCGGTGCCCCCTGATAGCATCGAGAGCAGCGGTTCCCAACCTTTTTTGCTCCGCGGCTTCCAGGGTGCCCAGTGCCAAGGAGGCTCTCGCTGCTCCCATCCCTGCTCCCTTCTTTTTCACAAGTCCCATCTCTCTTGACGAAAGAGTGAAGATATCCGGTGCTCTCTAATCTATTCATTCCACCATTGATGGCCCAAGGGGACAAGCTTAGAGCCGAAAGATGACTTCGATCCCTTCCGGAGCCCTCCCTTAAAATTGAGGAACACTGAGTGTCCGGAGCCTGACCTATACCGCTTTGTGAACGGCTCCCCAAAAAAAGCGTGGCGGCTCCTCGAGGAGCCGGGGATCCCAAGTTGGGAAACGCTGATCTAGAGCCTCGGAATCTTGCCTGATACCGAACAAAAGTCTGCTATGGAGTGTCCCTGAAGAACTTCCCTCAACCCTCCCGAGAAGCTAATAATCAGCCATTCTCCCCGCCCAGCACGCGACCGAGAGGCATCTCAGAGACAAAAACCGTTGAGAGAGGGGGTGAACTCTCTTAGCCGCTGTCTTGCCGCGAGAGAGGTGTCGACCGTTAGAATCTCGAAGAAGTTTGTGCGACTTGATGTCTGAGAGACCATAAGATCACGCGAATCTTGCTGGACTGTACTTCCAAGTACTTTCGGTGATCCCGAACAAGTGCGAAAGAATGTCCGCCTTTCACGAAAGCAGCAGCGACATGCACTTCAGTGACCTTGTCACTTTAGAATCGGGACCGTCCATCATGGGCAGTTCTGATGCAGAATACCCGTCCATCCTGATGGACCACGGAGTATTCTCCGAAGACCTTGAAGAATCTTCATTCGCGGAGGTCTCGGACGTTCCGCTCGAGGTAGAGTGGTGCCTCTGTACAGGTCATGGAATGGTCGAGGAAGAACGGAAGATTATTAACACGGACTTCCACTTTGTTACCCGAAAAGGGCTCTTGCGACCATGCCCAGCAATCGGCCGTGGACGACGCGATCGGGGCCGCTTCTAGAATGCGCGCGGAGCAGAGTTCCTCTGCGGGGGAACTCAAAGAGAGGGCGCGGCGGAGAACTGGATCGTTCATGCGGTCGATTTTGATTCGCTTCTCGCAGCCTGGGGCAGCGCTGGCGAAGAAAGTTTGCAAGAGGCGGGGGAGTCTAAGACGCCCAGGAGAAGAACACTATCGAAGCCAACGAGCAAGTAGAGAAATAGGATAGGCATTTCTGCTCTGCGATCCGCCCTGGGTCCAACTTGAGGAATGGAAAGTCTAGAAATATGCACAGATATATTCTTCTCTATATATAAACCAGCACTGTTTTCAATGACCGGTGGGTAGAACAATATCAACCGGTATTGACCGGTATTTATCCTGTCGATCAGAGGATTTCTGACCTGCAGACAGGTGCCTGACAATGTCAGGCCAACTTGGATTGCATGTAACGGTTATAAAAAGGTCGGGCTTCCCGTATTCAGCTACAATGCTCATAGCGTCTTGGTACTGAGCTACCATGTATCGAGGTCCGCCGGTCAATGATGCACCTAGAATGATCCGACGACCGGGGGGTCCGCTGCTGGTGTTGTCGCTGAGCATATAATCTTGAAGGCCTTGCACGGTGTCGAGACGTAGTTGCCTTTGATTCTGACGGATGTAGTTGATTCGATTCATGTCAACTTTGAGCCAGCTGTCGACAACGAATTGCTGGAAAAGTTCGCCGGCGAAAATCAACGGAATAAATACGCCGTCGCGCGTGAACAGCAGGTAAGAGTAAAATTGCTTCTGAGTCACTCTGGTAGGGTTCACCGATACCGCTCTCGGTGCCTAGCCAATCGGCTTCGGCCACATCTCACAATAAAGTATATAAGAGTCTCCCGTCGAAGGGTAGAAACGAAGTTCAACCTAACCCCGGTCTCATATCACACCGACTAGCATAGATCCCTTCAATTGGCGCAGTCGCAGTTAATTCGAACCATTTTGTGTCCCTCGTCCTCAACGTCATGGAAGAGGTTGTGAAGAAGCTCACGGAGCTCCTAGAGGTGATGTCTAAGAAGCAGGACGGGAAGGTATCAATCAGCGATGACAGAGTCGTCGCTCTCAACAACGTCCTCTCGCTGGTCGGTATCTTCAAGTACGATCCTGATAACGGGATAACGTTCGAGCGCTGGTTCAGACGCAATGGGAAGTATCTCGACTCTCATTGCAACTCCGAAGAGGAGCGTCTTCAGCTCCTCCTGAAAGCCTTGGGGCCGAAGGAGTACAACCAACTACGAGGTCGAACGTCACCTGCACATCCCGAAGATAAAACATATACCGAACTAGTCGCAGAACTCAAGTCGATGTTCGGTGAATCGAAGTCCCTATTTCGTCGCCGGCATGACACGTTGTCAGTACGCCACGCACCAGGTAAGCTCGTCGAGGAAATCGTCAACTCGACGAAGCTCTACGGTGACGACTTCGAGTTCAGCAAGCTCACCTTGGACAATTTCAACATCTTTATCATGCTACTGCATCTCTCGGACCCTTCCTACAAGAATCTACGGGGCGTCATCATGAGAGCAGTCGACGAGAAACCGGACATCAAGTTGGAAGATCTACGAACGGTGATGCGGCGATATGAGACCCGTACGGTAGACACCCAGGTTGATCAAACAAGCAATCGAGTGGAGGGGCAACCAGCGGTGTTTGGTACAAGCGCCAAGAAAGGTACACCTCATCCATCAAGTTCGAGGAACCGAGCCAACACCAAGAAACCTCAGAAGTCTCTGTCCGCACGCGGATGTGTTGGTTGTGCAGATGATCATCCTCGCAGGGAATGTCCCTTCAAGAACTCCTCTTGCAACGCCTGCAAAAAGATCGGGCACATCGCGAAGGTGTGCAGATCAATGCAAAGCAATCAGGTGCAAGTCCACTCTACGCTCAACCAGGCCGAGCTCGACGAAGGTCGCACGTTCGTGAAGGTAACACTTAATGGCAAGATCGTGAAGTTCCGGGCGGACTCCGGCGCTGACATTTCCACAATCAACCTCGAAACCTGGAAAGCTCTCGGTTCTCCGCCTTTGGATGTTTATGGAAGTTCGTGTACGCATGTCGACGGCGGAACCATCAACGTTAAAGGCTACTTCGACGCCGAATTCGGACTAGGAAACAGATCAGTTGTAGAGCCTCTCCTTGTGCTCGCTAGTGGGAAGGTCAATCTCCTTTGTGGCCGCCTACTCAAACAACTGCATCTAGTGACCTGGAATTTCGGTGACAACGTCGTTGTCGTCAACGCGATCAGTGCGCAGGTTTTGGAAACCAAGTTCCCCGATCTGTTCAAGTCTGGACTCGGAACCTGTACCAAACTGAAAGTGCACCTACACCTTCGAAACAACGTTGTTCCGGTGCATCTCCGCCCTCGTTCGGTGGCTCTCGCACTCCAAGAGCCAATCAACCAAGAGCTCGACAGACTCGTCAAGAACGGTACTCTCGTGCCGGTAGACACTTCGGAGTGGGCAACTCCGATAGTGGTCGTCAAGAAACCGAATGAGTGGATGCCAACCGCCTTCTCCCAGGGGGAAGAGGAGTGGATAACTTAAGGGGTCGCATGGTCTATCCAGATAGCTGATTACGCGCAGCGCGCCAGTATGCTCGTGTATAACCAAGAGACGGGTTTTTGATATATTTTCCTCTTCACCAACGTAAACGATTGCGACTTCATTGGCTGTGGCAATGTTGTAACGCCGGCGGTCGTCATCTGGATTCTGGTCGAGAACCATCCGCACGGGTCTTGAGCTCCGACCTTCGTTCTCCGCATTTTGCGCTTCTTCGTCGGAGACATGTGCCATGAGACGGAAAGCTTGAACGTGAGGATTGTAGGTCTTCAGAATCACATGAAGTAGTTTGAAGATCGTCTCACTGCAACTTCGGTTCATTGCGCGATTACTCAGTTCTATCGCTGCTTGTTCCGTGTCCTTCATCAGCACTTGCGCACACTGCGGTGCCTCGTTGCTCCGAGGTCGGAGGCCTCCTATTGCGTGATAGATCCGACCGTAAACACGGAAACAATATGGACCTGCTCCTCGAGGTGAATTTACGCGAGCAGCCATCGAGGCCATCGCAAGAGAGTTGTTGTCATTTCGGATATTTTCTCGAAAGGCTCTCGACTGTGCATCTTGGTTCCGATGGAGATTTTGCAATATCGGCAAGAAACCTTGAAAAGCGGACACTCTCACGGTGTCCGAGGCGCAGCATACCGTGTAAGCACCGCGGGACGACGTCGTTTTCCCAGCTTCGAAATGTAAAGCACCGCAACCTGAGCAGCGATGATTCATGCGACCTAGATCATGATGGTTCGTGGGACGCCCCTGGTAATCACGAGCCATTCCGAGAGTTTGACGTGGACGAGTAGCTCTATAAGAATCGCGAGTGGGATTATTTTGGCCCGAGGAGATTCTAGCAGGAAAGTTACTCTCGAGAGAACTTCCTTCATTGCGTGAGTGTGAGCCATGGCGCACGGCAGTAGGGGAGTTAAGTAGAGGTTTCGCGCTTCAGAGGTTCCATTCCAATGGCGATGTTTTCTGACGGGAATTCATCCCAGAATATGGTTGACCGAATGAAAGAAGAAACATTCTTTGGAGAGAAAAGAAAGGGAAAAGAAAAAAAGAAAAAAGAAGAAAAAGATACAGTAAAAGCTCGTTACAGCGAACCTCTCGGGACCGGCAAATTTGGTTCGTTGCAACGAACGTTCGTTGAAGCGAGCATGAGCCACGAGAGCACACCTACCAAATTTCAAAGCTTTCAGCAATCAAGCGAACGCAAAAAAATCAGATGGATAGAAAATCCTAGGTCGCCTCGGCATTCCTTTTATTTTAGACCGTTGGTAATAAATTAATCGAGGAGCTCACAAGAAATCTGTAAGTTTTCTCTGTACCATGTTCGTGAATTGATTTCTATGCACGAAGCTCTCAATGTCTGAGATGGCACGGAAGATGCTGTCTGGAGCACACTCATTCGCGGCAACAAACCGCCTGATTCGAGATAAGGACCCAAGACATGCGCCGACCGCAACTTTTCCCTCCAATGGTTCTTCCAGAGGGTCATCCTCACTTTCACTATTTTCAGAATTCGAAGCTGCCCCAATCGATGATACGCTCGAAACTTGTTCGAGAATGCCGGAGTCTGTCAATTCTTCGCATACTAGAACATCGTCATCGGCCGCCACGTAGTCATAAAATTTCATATCACGGCCAATACCCAGAAGTTCTGCGTTGAAATCCCACAAGTCAATCGAATCAGAAGGTTCCTCACTGAGGCTTCCTTCGGTCTGCGGAGCTCGGTTGAACATGCCGCTATTTTCCCAACACTTCACTATCGTCGTTGGGAGAATTTCTGACCAAGCCGACGCTATCATATTCATAGCCCGATAGACATCGATTTTGATATCTTTCGCGGCACTAAGATGGACAAGGATCGAACGAATGAGAGAGTTCCTGTAATGCGCCTTGACCGCTCGAATGATGCCGGATCAAGGGGTTGCATCACCGAAGTATTATACAATTGGGAGGGAAATACTCTACGCGAACGTTCGTCAAACGCGGTGTCACATTATGAGCGGAGCAATTATCAACCAGGAGGGGAACGTTCCTTTTGTCGGTCTTCATTTCCCGGTCGAACTTCAGCAACCATTCGCTGAATAAGTCTCGAGTCATCCAAGCTTGTGTATTGCCTCGGTACAAGCATGGCAAAGACTTGACATTCTTCGAACAGCGAGGCTTCCCTGACTTTCCAATGATGAGCATCTTTCTCTTATCATTCCCTGTTGCGTTACAACAAAGCAGTGCCGCGAGCCTGAATTTCGATTTTTTTCCACCGGCACAAGTTTCACCCCTGACACTCAGAGAGCGATCCGGTAGGAGTTGGTAAAAAAGGCCAGTCTCGTCGGCATTATAGACGTCTTCTGGAGCGTAATCATCGATTATGTCCGAGATTACATTCTGTCTCTACTCGTCAGCTTCCTCCTTGGGGGCGTGGGCAGATTCGCCACAGAGAAGTCTCGCGCGGATCCCAAATCGGTCGCGAAATCTCGCTAGCCAGCCCTCGCTAGCCTGGAAACCATCATGGTTCAGAGAACTCGCATATTGCAGTGCTTTCTCCCATAGGAGTGGCCCGTATACGGGGATGTTCTTCGCACGAACATCCCGGAACTATATGTACGTCGCCTTGTCCACGTCTTCGTATTGAGCGGTTCTCAATCGCTTTCGTTTTGGATCGAAAGAACAATCTTTGCTGCGTTCCTGGATTTTCTCGGCATCTCTGATGAAGGTGGATAAAGTTGACTTGCTCAAGCCGAATTCGGCCGCTATGTCGATCTTCTTTTGACCCGACTTCACCCTCTCGAGGATTCTTGACTTGAACTCCAACGAAAACTGTTTCCTCGGCTTGCGCTGTGAGGCCATTCGCTGAGAGGGCCAGGATGAAGTCTCCTCGCAGATTTCAATCATGGCGAGAGAGCTTCGGCCTGTTTCCAACTTCGAATTCTCGTTTTCAACACCGAAGGCTAAAGATTTCGAACGGTTTTCCCGCGGAGGAGCATTGCCGTGCCCGTGCCGAACTGATATCTCGCCCACCAGCTGATCCTGCGTTCGGAAATGTCGCTTGCACTCACAACTTCGAATCTCATTCGCGATGTTCGAATCTTCGCATGACGATCCATGGCCGGAGCGATACAAAACGACCGGAATTCGTAGAAACGAGCTGTTTCGCCAGAAATTTCCGATCCATGGGAGTCGTTAAAACGAATTTTTCGCTCTAATGAAATTCGTTCTACCGAGATTTTCTCAGCATTTCTCTCTACGGCGAGCCAAACAAAATGGGGCTCAAAATTCGCTGTAGCGAAAATTCGTTGTAGTGGGGGCCTCTGTAACGAGCTTTTACTGTATTGAGTCCGATGAGTTCATTTCAGGTGGCTTGGCTTCGCAAATTACGCACTGAGCCATGTAAGGCACTGCATTGATGATCTGGATAATCTTGCCGTCGATCATTGATAGGATCATTTTGAAGTCCTCTGAGAAAGTTGATCCTGACACCGTTACCACGAATGTTCCGAGGTCCGATATCTCTTCTTCGACTCGAGCTACGTGTGCTTTGATCACTTCCGGTGTCTCCTTCGTCAGCTCGAATTTAAGGGGTCGACAATAGTTCGTGGATGAAGGCTTGGGATTGTTCCAGAAGATAACCGTTTCCTCAGAAGTCGTGCTGAGTCGGAGAGAGGTCACAGAAACGACAAATAGATTACCGTCTGAAAGAGAATGACACAAGCACGCTTGTTTGTACTCCGAGTGTCCAGAGGATCCATCGCAACCCCATTTTGACAAGAAAGTGAAGTGCTCCTCCAACAGGTCGAATTCTGGCTCCGGTAGCGAGCTGGGCAATCGCTTCACATAGTGCTCTAGGAGATCTTTCAGCGGGACTGAAGAGTGCTTCTCGGTTGCCTCGATGTTGGTCGGATAGCATTGTTTCTTCTCAGTCAACACCTTGTTGTATGCAGGGAAAGCATCAAGACCAAGCTCCCTCTTCAATTATTCAAGTCTCAGATCTATGTATAGTTCCTCCGCCATGTTCAGATCGAGCAAGAGTTGTAGAGCCTTCAGGGGATTGACGGTGAATATAAGCTTTGCTCAATTTTTTCTTCTTCTTTTCCTTCTTTTTTCTTTTTGTTTCTCCTTTTTCTCTTCTTTTCTCTTCAAAGAATGTTTCTCCTTTCATCCGGAACACCATATTCAAGGACGAATTCCCGTCAGAAAACATCGCCGTTGGAATGCTCCGCGCACCGATCGCGCAACCTCCGAGAACCAAAATGGAGTCCGGGCATCGAGACACATGCTGAAAAATCGCTATAGAAGCATTCGGAGGCGAACCTGATTTTTGGCCGTTCTGGGACACTGTGGGACGTGGGCTCGCGATTCGAGTCATCTACAGATAGCCGGGAATGACTTTTCCGCAGTCGTCCCTGCTCTTGACGGAAACGAACAGATCGACGGGCAACCCCAACTCGGTCACGGCGAACGAGTTTCGGCATCTTGCGGGGAAAAACGATCAGCTGTAATAGATGTTTGCCCGCGTTCCTCTCATCAACACGCAATCGGAGCAACGAGGGGAGTTTGTCATCGCTCCCGAAGAGCTAGAGAGGTTTTCCAGAGATTTGGAGATTATTGGCATCTTGAAGCGGCCCCGCTGAAAACGATGTATGGTTTTTTTGCCGTTTGCCACGCAATAGTAGCTCACTTCCTCATGAAATCCGACCTTGCACATCTTCAGATGCTCATGCATCGATTAAGCAAAAATTTACTCAAAGTGTTGCTAAGGAGAAAAAATCTTTCGGAAACGGAAAAAGGGGGGAACGGGAGAACGGGGAAACGGACTGAGCCGGAAGCCGAAAACCCGATTCTCTCACTCTGATTCTCGAAATACCGGGAGGAAATCTCTGTCTCTGTCGTTAGTTGTACCCTCGGGATTTGATTGTCGCAGCGAAGCGCGACGGGTATCGCTAGTGCTCAATAAAAATGAATATACGTAACCAAACGATCGATGAACGAAT